CTCGGAGGACGGTGGGACACTAACACACAATGTGAGTGGGAGATATAAATTACCAGAAGATGAAAATGAAGACGTCTTCATCACCAGCGTGTTTCTCTTTATTGTTGCTGTATTTCAGTGCTGACAGTCTTAAGGGCTTTCCCCTGTCGGACCAGGCTGGCAGACAGAGACTCAGCTTCTGCTGTTGAGGAGGAGGTAAAGTAACACAGGGACTGTGAATCATCAGTCATGTACAGTATGCCCTCAGGAAACATGAAGGTGAATGACAGCCATTCTAAGGATTCACATCCTCTTCCTGTGCCGCAGGACAGTTCAGCAGCCAGCACTTTTTTACGATTTTATTTGGTGGCAGAGTGAGGGAGGAGGCAGGAAACTGAATATCAGGGTAGAGTGAGAAAAATGACACTTAAGTGGTCTGGCCGGCCTGGACCAGCTGCTGAAGGTGTGTGGGTCCTAATCGCTGCCCATCAAATCGCCCATTGTGTCTTATTTTCCCCAAAATACAGAAACCAATCTTGAATTTCCATCACAGGGAAATAAAAACTGTGTTAAGTGCTATGTGTGCTAAGCCTTGAGATGTGCACTTGTAAACAAAATTAAACACTGGTAAAGTCAAGTAAAACATTTTTTTGATTACTGTCTTATGCTACATGTATTAACTTCAGGTGAATCAAATCCTAAAGAATATTTTTTTAAATCAGTGTATTGTCATGTTTCCTCTGGTCTAGATCTGTCAGAACCTGTTCATGCGCGGGCTATCGTTGGTGGGCTGGTACCACAGTCACCCGCGAGGTCCGGCTCTTCCGTCGCTGCAGGACATTGACTCCCAGATGGACCACCAGCTGAGGCTGCAGGGTTCAAACAACGGCTTCCAGCCCTGTCTGGGCATCATTTGTGGTTAGTGTGGGATCTGTATAGAGAACTCTCTTTGAAAACCTTTTCCCACTATGAAAACATGTAATATCAATATCATTAGTTACTAATGAGTACTAGTGCTCACTAGTACTAGTGAGTCCATGCATGGAAGTCAAATATCATTGTATAGTTTCACTTAAGTAACTCTATATAGCTTACAGAGGAGGAGGGTCTTGCTACAATAGCAGCATAGTCAGTGTACTTCAGTGTCAGAAGTATTTATCTTTAATCAAATTTGATCTGTATAGCCATATTAACAAATCACAAATTGTCTAATGGGGTGTAACATGGTGCGACATCCTCTGACCTCAAAAAGAGTGAGGAAAATTCTACTACTATTGACAGGGGGAAAAACATTACATAGCAAAGTGGCCCAAATTGTACTTTAATAAAAATGAAATAGGGTAATGGGTTGAAGTTTAGACAGATTCATTTCATGAAAATACCCTCAGCTGCTGTCGAAGCCAGCTGAATAAACAATGCTGTTTATTTTCCGGTCACAAAATACAATACAATGCAATCCACTTTGTTAATCCCGAAGGCACTTTGATTTAGGGCAATTAACGCAGACTAAAAAAACAAGATACAGACCAGCGCTGACAAACACCCACTCGACAATCACACAATAAAACACCATAAAAGAGCTGTTCAGTTGCAATGAGCTAAAAGTGCAATTCCTTCCAAGACATAGCTTTTCTTTAAAAAAATACTTAAATAATAAATAACTAGTTGTGGAGGGAAAAAAGTTGTAATTTTTTCATCTTAGAAATTCAATTTTTACTGAATAATGTTTGGCAATGGAATGAAGCAAAAAGTGAGGTATTTTGTTGAAGTCAACTTTTGAGTTGCTGTAGCTGACGACCAATCACACTGCAGTGATGCTGGAATCAGTAAAATATGACCTGAATAATTTGTAACCAAATTGTTACATGTTACTTTTCCTTTTTCAACAGGACCGTATTATCACGGCAATCAAGGTGTGGCGTCCACAATCACTCCATTCTGGGTGGTACCACCTCCTGAGGTGAAGACACAGACATAACTAAGAGACTTTAAAGTTTTCACTGTCTTACTTCATGTCAGAGACGTTTGTTGATGTTTTATGATAAACCTGCGTCTCATCTCTGTTCCTGCAGCAACGGCCGAATGACTACGGCATCCCAGTGGCTGTAGAGGTCACCTACGTACAAGACAACTTCCTCACCAGTGACGTCCTTAATGAGATGGTACTGATACTGCAGCGTCAGAGCTGGGAAAAAAATACAACAGAGAAGTCAAAACTTGTGTCATGGTTTTTAAACATTTGTATTAAACAGGTTTTTTTTCCCTCCAAAGATGCTGCTGGTCGACTTCTACAGGGCAGCTCCCGACATCGTCCAGTTCAGCCAGTACTGGTGCCCGGATACAACCATGATGGACAAGATCAAGGTAGGAGGATTAATGGACGACAAAATAGATGTCAACTTAGGCTACATCCATACTACTACGTTTTAGTTTGAAAACAGCGCTTTCAAACTAAAACGATCTCTGTCCACACGTTTTGGCTTTGTATCTGTTTTGATCCCTTTCCATACTAACACGCTTGAAAACACATATCACGTGATAACTCACGCACACTGGGCATGTGAATAACAGCTTGTCTCCTTCACATTAGCAGTTGTATCATTTTAAACAGCAGAATTTAACTGCTCAACAACTGTAAGCAATAAACAGGCTCAGCAACACTTGTAATAGATTGTCCAAGTTGTGTTCTACACTGGTAGCCACGACTGGTGCTGGGTGTTTCCTTTACGAAGGGGGTCATGTGATGGGATGTGATGTCATGACGAATCAGCGAAGGCTACGTCCTCACCAATAAGACCCGAATCAGTGAAAGGTTGCGAGCGTCTACGTCACAGTATACAAACATCTTCTTCTCTCCGCGTCCAGACTAAAATGCAGCCCCTAAGTTTTCAAGCTAAAACGGGGTCAGCAGTGTTTCCAAACTTAGCAGTGTGGATACCAGGCGTATGCGTAGCGGAGTTGGTGCGTTTTCAAATGGATAAGTAGGAGTGTGCATGTAGCCTCAGCTGTAAAGGGATGTGTTCGGGATTCCTCAACCCCTGACCTAAAATGTGTGTCTCCTTCCTCAGGGCTCTCTGAGCTGCCATGCCCCTAAAGATCAGGCCTACTCTCAGATCTTGGAGCATGTCTACAGTCAGCTGGGCAGCACGCCCTGAGCAGATCCACATTTGCTCGTGAGCACGTGGCCGCTCTCCATCTCAAGTTGTTCCATTTCAAACACCTCCTGTGCAAAACAATGTAATGAAACAATGTAAAACCTGCTTTGAAAAACATGTAGATGCCTTGAATTCTCTCATGCTTAATTTGACGCAGCGTTATCACGAGTTAAAACACACGTCAATGACACTGAAGGTGCTAAAGCTGTGATGTGAGTCACCCCAGGACCTTTAATTTGCAATCGGAAAGAACAGAGTAAGGGATTGGAGAACAGGAAACTAACGAGTGTTAAAAACCAATAGTGAAATATTGTTTTAATGACACTAAATGGACGTTTTTCATGGACCTGACATCAGCCCATGGAGGAATGCTGGCCTCTTACCTTTTACACATGGACCTATGTGCCTGTCAGTGCCAGTTTCCTGTGGTGTGAGCAGATTTTGGCAGATATATACAATGTTACCTTGTAATTGCCTTTATAGATTAAACCAGGATCAGTGACTGGGCTGAAAAAGTGTAAAAAAAAATGGTAGTGACCTAAACTTTACTCTGAAATTGGTTTGGGAATGTTTTTGTCACTCAAGTCAAATCGAAGGGGTTGCAGTAAAGTAAAAATCCAACAAGTTCTCTTTTTAACAAACCTGTGTGTGTGTGTGTGTGTGTGTGAGCTGCGTTGTGAATGTGCGTCTCTACTGTGGTTCAGAAGACATGAGTCCTGTTGTTAGGACTCAGAATTCCTCTTTAGCTGTACTGTATTTATTAACTGTGGACTGTGTGATGTACATGTGTGAAGACTTTTGCCTTAAGCCTGCTGATTGATTACCCACAAAGCATTAAAATATACACACTGGAACTATTTAAACATGTCTATCTTGTTTTTTTTAAACAATTACTTATTATGTAAAAAAAAATGTTTTATGCCTCTTCACCAATGACAGCCAGTGGCTGGAGACATTATCTTTTCAGGAAGTCCATTCCATTCTTGTGAATATTTCTCAATAACAGCTTGAGGGAACTTTTTAAAATTTGGTAAAAACATTCAGTTGGACTCGAGGATGTACTGATTAGGTTTTGGCGAAGTCAAAGTCACTGTGACCTCACAAAGCACAATGAGGGCTTTTTGAACACGATATCTCAGGGAAACTTTTCAAATTTAGTGCTAATGTTACTTTAAATCTAGGAAGAATTGATTAGAATTTGGAGGTCAAAGGTCAGGATCACTGTGACCTCACAAAACCCACTTTTGGCCTCTTAAGACATATCTCAAGTTTACTTTAAGGGACTGACTTAATTGATCTGTCAAATATCAATGTGACTGCATGAGTCTGGAAAACAATTATGTAAATTGAAAGTGCACTGGTTGTCAGAGGCATAAAACGCATTAAAAGCATTTTCAAAGCCATGATTTGATGTCAGAAGACAACGCATTTGTCCTTTTTATTTATTGTAAGAATGGGTGGAGTTGGGGGAAGAGAGAGAGGCATGTACAAATACTTTGATAATAAAAGACAAAATATTGCGGTTAAATTCTGTACTCACGTAAAAAGGCAACTGAAATCTAAGACATACATTTACAAGGTGTAACATAGGACTACATGCAGAGATTAATTTAAAACATTTTAAAGGTCTTATATATAAAAAATAATACTATAGAGATCCAGAGTGATTTTTACGCTGTTTAAGACTGATTAACAAATGCATAGCCCTTTAAAAAATGAAATCAGTGGGACATTTTTTCACACAAGGATTAAACTCTACACAAAAGCAGTTTCCACAGGTGGTTTGTGGACAAAACGTCAATTATCTCAACACAACATGTTCAGGAAAACTGCTGTAGTGTCATAAATGTGCAGACATACGCACACATGAATTTCAACTTTACACAGGAAAAGTGCCAATGGCTACAAATAAAACCAAAAGTAGAAAAAAAGAAACTCAACCATTGTTTTTTTAAGTAGCTAGGTTAGGTTTTGGTTGCTGTATTAGTTGCCGTTTCTTCCCTCCTTTCTTTTCCGAAGGCACTCACAAAGCTAACAAGGACTTTTTTTTATGTTTTATTACAGTGTGACCCAGGCAGCACCTCCTACAGCCTTTTAACTTTGCCCTGAACTTGATACAAGCAATGAAATGTTGTAAGATCAGCGATGTAAACATATGTAGACGAGGACCAAACTAACGTCTGGCAGCGTGGAGTGAAGGACAAACACAAACAACAGGGGGAATGTAGCAGAAACATTGAAACAGTATTTTTCATTCATTAAAACTCCCCCCCCGAAGACAATCGGACTGATTACACAAGTTTGGTAAAGATTAATTGGTAACAAGGGTTCTCCAAATTATTCCAATTATCATTTTTCCCTTGATGTTTTCCCTTTCACTCCAGGTGTTTCCCTCATACTGTACAGTGTACTAGACTCCACATGCAGGTTGTGCCGACTGTAGCTCAATCCAAAACAAGAAACCAGCCTTGTCTAAATAGATTAAAACACCAGTCTAAATCAGCCCATGACACTAACAAATAAATCAAATCAAAGCCTCCGTCAGCGTCAGATTAACAGGGGTCGGACACGGCTTCAAAGCAGAAACGAGTTTCACATTCTCAAACATATGAGGGCAGATACAAAAAGTGGGACAATCGTTGAAGAATATGAGAGAGAGAGAGAGAGTCGCTGCCAGCAGCGTCGTCTAGTCAGGCACTGCAAGAAAAACAGGTGCCTACGACAGGGCTCAAAAGACAATAAAGGGCATAACATGATGACACGAACAGACCCAACACTACATGAATATATGGCTGTTTCAGAATATCCGAGCGCACTTGGTGATATGTTACTATTACATTTTATAAAGACTTTTTGGCTCCGTCCTTTCTATCAAACAGACTAGCAGACAAACGAATGATCATTCTACACACGCTTGCCTTAAGTGACAAAAAGGTGCAAGGTCTGCATTTAAACTTTGGGTCATTGTATAATGTAAGTCTGTCACACACACACACACATCAATCTCATCTGAGGACCAAGGTGCAAGTACATTATCTCACATATTCGGTAAGTCGTTCTACTCTTAAAAACTACTGTGGTAAGGTGAGACTAATACTAATCAAATACTGAAATGATAAGAAAAAACCTGTTGTCCTGTGATGCTTCTGTAGCATCATCATCATCATCATCATCATCATCATCAATGCACAGGTGAGAAAAAGAGCATTAACAAAACCTGGAAACTGTCTAACTCACAAATCTGAGATACACTTCGAAATGTCATGTCTAGTTTCATTTTAGTTTAGGTGAAAGTAATTCTCAATCACGCCAACAGGAGGCAGCACGAGCTGTTGGCCAAATCAGAAAGACAGCATAATCATTTTTTCGGTTCTCAATTTTGAAATGAGAATGATTTTCAGTCAGTTTACATTAAACATATGAATTAACTGTGAGGTTTGAGTTGGCCTCTCCAGGCTGAAAACTGACTGTTACACTGGTGACCAACCTGAGTTTCAAACAGACTCTAGTTGCACAAAGAAAATAATATAAATGCATCTTTCCAGTCATCAGATTTTAACTATATCAGTAATTTGTGGTTAATGAAAAAATATTGCTTAGAAATATTTCATCAGTTTATTATTAAAGAAATATTTCCTACTATCGGATAAAATGTGATGACATGTTGTGTTCATCTCTAGATCCTTTTACCTTTGGGTGAAACAGGTTGAAATTCTGCTCTGGACTCTGAAATGTAACCAACTTCCCCCAGAACAAGATGACAAAAAGTGCTCATCTGTGAGGCCGACACTGGTGCTGAAGGTGAAAATGAATCTTCTGCGGATCATTCCTCGGCTTCACTTTCCTCCCTCTCTGTAATTTCTACTTGCTCTCTCCATCTCCACCAGTCTCCTCTCAGCTCTCTCGCTCTTGTATTAGTGTGGCAACGGGACGAGGACCTCGACATAGTTGAGGGGGAAGAACCCCGACTGGCTGTTCAGCATGCCCTCGTACCAGTTTTCGTCGATCTGATTGGTCAGGGTGATGATGTCGCCCTCGCGGAAGCCCAGCTCGCCCTCGTTCTCCGGCTCAAAGTCGTACAGCGCCTTACAGCTCGGCTGCTCCGGTGCTGAGAAAACAACAAGCAAGGAGAGAAATAAGAAGATGATGAAATGAAAGGCTGAAAGATTCTGGATAAGCTCACACAGTGAAGAGTCACAGCAGTTTCACAAAAGTCACGTTTTTATACACAAGTGAAACATTAGTATATGTTAAGTCAGATCGACTGCAACACAGCACTGCAAACAAGCTCAACAGCGCTGACAGATTTGATCCATGACCAAAGACAACAGCATCCTATGACACCAGGATTGTGTGACTGTTCTCCCTCATCTGTCTTTTCTTCTGTTCGTTCTATCTGTTCCTCTGTTACTTCTCACAGATCAGCAGAGGAGAATGAGGCTCCGAACACAAACTGGCCTTTTTTTGTCGCCAAACAATTTTCTCATTGTGTCAAGTCCACCCCACAGACTGCTGGGTAGGCGAGAGAACGGGAACGTGTCTCATTCTCTGTGTTTTTCTCCTTACTATGTTAATTTATAAAGCCAGAAAAATTGTACTTAAACACTTTTTACTATTAAAGACATTACTCCAAAGGTAGGTTGTATTAGGAGACTCTTCAGATGCTAAAAGAATCAGTTTACTTAATGTGCAAATTGTGAGACATGAAAAAGACGGGTGTCTACAGACGATTTTTTAAGACCTTTTTTTATTTAATAGCACTAGCAATGAAATATAAGACCAAGCTTGTGAATCAATCATTAACAAGCTAGCAGCCTGACAAGAAAGAAATGAGTTTAATACAAAGCTAACCAGGTATAAGTTTATGATGCAGCGCATACCAGAGCTAATAATCCTTAGTTTGGTCTGGCATAAAGTACCCAATTCTTGCATTTCATTATTTAAGATAAGTCTCCCCTTAATGTAAAATTAACCTCTAAACAGTCAATTGTATGTACAGTATAGTAAAAAAATATAATCTTGATTTTTCTTTTAGGTTTATTAAATAACACAGAACCAGTCACTGTAGAGCTGTTAATACTTGTCAGTTAAGTCAGGTTACAGTATCAACAGCACAAGATGTGAATTTCATACAATGTCAAAAACACACATGCAATGCACATACAACACGAGCACAATCAATAACCAATTTTGTGCCGAGCCGTTGAGCAGCAGCTTGTAGCGAACTTCATACGTTTCACACCAGAAGCTGCACAAACACAGCCCGGTTCTGGACCATGACTGAAAGTGTGACAGCGAGTGTGACAAAAAATGGCCCACACAATCTGTGACTCACACAATGTTGGTTTCCTAAAGGACAATCTGGCCAAGTGAAAAAACGGCTCTGATGATGTCACGGGAAAAAGGAAGAGGGTCAGTTGGAGAAAGGCCATTGAGATGACAGGACACACACACACTCACTAACATGAACCCCTCCCCCTCACACAGACACACACATCCATTTTCTAATGATCAACAACTTTGAGAGTCAAACATTCAGAGCATGCCAGCAATTGAAAAGCCTCAAACTGGAAAAAGAATATCAAATGTGTGCCAAATGTTTCTGACATGTTCGTGTACAGTGGTTGCAGATCTTCAACAATCATGTGATGGGGGCACAGTTGTTTTTACAATTTAGTTTCTTACAGATTTTAAGAGAGCAGGAGTGTTGGTGCATTGCGAGTCTGTGTGTAGAAACAGCCGAGGTTTGTTGTTGTACAACTTTTCTGTGGCAGCTCTTCAACACATATCCTGTGTAGTTCTTTTATGTGACTTAGAAAGAGTGAAAACAAAAAATGTCAGACAAAGTTTGTACTGTTCTTTGTTTTGTTCTCTGACACCAACTGTATACTCACTCACTTCATCATTTTAAAGGTCCAAATGTAATGTAGAATAATCCTCATGATGTTTTCACTAGTTCGTTTCATCTAAATTGTATGAGTTGTAGTTTTCTTTACCCCAGAAAAGGCCCTTTATATTTACATACTTTATATTTACATCGAGGGGGTCCTCTCTACAAAGGCCGCCATGTTTTTTATATTAGTCCAGACTGGACAAACTAAACACCTTTTGAGTTTTTATGACAACTGAAGGCTGCCACAGGTTCTTTTTCATTTTTGGAAGGAGAGGGTGAGGTGAGGGGTGTTCAGCTGCAACATGTGATTTCAACACTCGATATCACTAAATTCTACCAATTGTACCTTTAACATTCAGGGTTAGTTTAATATTATTTTAGAGCCTCTCAGTTGTTTCTTACCTGAGTTACATGAGGGTGGAGGTGCCATTGATGTTGAGTATCCGCCGTTTGAGTGGTTGTCATCTCCAAAGTCATAGATAGGTTTGGGTTTGGGTGTGTATTCACGTCTCGGTCGAGACTGAGCATCATTCATCCTTTAAAAAAAGATAAATGGAAACAAGTCTTGCATTCTGAATAATAAATACAAAGTGTCTGGAGAGACTGAGAATAAACAAGACTTGAAAAGCTCCAAGCTGCACTCAAGTTGTATTAATGCACCTGTCGCGGAGTTTGTCAGAAAGCTCATCCAGCACCTGCACAGCCTGTTTGTGGTACTGCAGCTGAGACTCCACCAGAGACGAGAGCTGGCTCACCTGCTCGATCTACACACACACACACACACAC